GCGGGGAAGGAATTTCCCCCCCCCCCTGCGTCCGCGCAGCTTCGCGCCGTTGACTGGGGCATCAATAATAAATGCGGAGATCTCGCGTCGCTGTTATCTCGGCAAAGCTGCGCAAACATTAACTGATCCCCGGCGTTAGGTAACTTGTGGGGATTAGCGAGGGAGCAGGGAGGCTGCGGAGGGAAGCGGGAACGGCGCCCAGGAAGTGCTCTCGTTCTGCGGTGGGTTGGTGGGTGCAGGACGGGGCGGAGGTGAGTGGTTCTGTGGAGCCGGGACGGGGGGGACCCGTCCTGCCGCGTCGCCTTTTACCGTCCCCGGGGATGGCTCCGCTCCCCGTCTCGTCCTCTTAGACTGGAGGAGGGAAACTTTCTACCCTCGTTTTCCTGCTGGCAGTGTGAACCCCTTTGCTGCCTTTCCCTGGAGTAAACAGTAAGTAGCTGTCCTTCCTTTTGTAGCCAGAGGTTGGTTGGTTTTCGTTCTTTTTAAGGATAGTGAGAGTATTTCCTCGCTTTGAAGCGTGCTTGGCAGTTAATGCAGGGTCACTCTTTCAGCTGAGGCCACCGGGAAAGCTCTGGTGGCCTCGCACGCGAAGGAGGATCGGGACTTCGCAGGGGACAAGGGTGGGAGAAGGGAGAGCTGCTTTTCTCCACCCCAGCACGGGGAAATGGTGTTTTCTTGTCCCAGACTCTCACTCTTCTCCCAGCACTGCCGGGAAGAGGCAGCAGGTCGGGGCGCCTGGCGTCGGAGCGGGCTGTGTCCCGGGCCCGTGCACGTGGCCTGGTGGCCAGCGTCACCTGGCTGCCCGAAGCAGTTTATTGACGTGGCCGAATTACTAAACAAATTACTAAACAAATTAAACCAAGATACCTTTTAACTCTGACCTGAAGGGCTGGTTTCTGACCGACCCATCCCTGGCCTCAGATGTGCTGCTTTCCAGCAAATAATAGACTTTATCAAGGGGGATTATTTCAATTTTGGTACAGCAGTTAGCAGATACTCAGCACTCACTTCAGAGAGGTTCTGCCAGGGTGGTTGCTTTGTGAGGGTGTGATCCTGGCTGGGTGCAGGTTCCTGGGCTCGGGCAGGTCTCCTGCCCTCTAACCCCGTCGATCTGGGAGGAGCAGGGAGCGGTGCAGACAGTCCGTAGGCTGCCGGGGTTGTATTTCCGAAATCCAGCCCTTGGTCGTGTTGAGGTCAACTCTCCAAACTTGGCTTTTTCTCCTCCCAGCAAACAGTTGCTGAAGGCAGTTGCCCTGGAGATGGGGAAACGGCGCAGATAGAAATGGCATGCCTGTAATGTCTGGGATTCAAATATTGCTGGGTCAGTGGCTGGGGGTGGCACGCCGCCTGGCCGGGGAAGCCAGGGTAGCTGCTGGCGTTCGGTTACCGTGGGGAAACCGTGGGGGTCTACGCAAAGCTGTTGGATCTCTCTCTTTGCCCCCTGCGTCGTGCTGGGGCTCTCCCCGGATCCGGCCTGTCCTGTTCCTGCTCTCAGCAGACTGGTCCAAGTTGTCCTCCCCATTTTGTAGCCGCCTGCCCGGCAGGGATTTTGCGGGGGGGCTTTCCCCGTATCCCTCCCTTGGCTGCGTTTGCCGACCCTGAAGCAGGCTGTGGTGTTTGCAAAGACCGAACCCACCTCAAACTGGGAAGCATTCACATCTCAAGATGACAGGTTGGTGTTCAGAAGGTGGACTGGGGCTTCTCCTGGCTGGACTGTGCACCTCTGCCAGCCAGACGAAGGCTAAGCCGCCCCGCGACCCGCTAATGAGCCCTTTGCTCTCCTTGCAAGGCACTTTCTCCTCTCCTTTTGCATCTGTGGTGATGATTTCTCCTTGTAGGTATTGACATCTGGAAGGAGGCGTCCTCCCGGTCCCCTCTTCTCCTGCAGCCCCGGGAAGCGGGTGCTCCTGCGGGTCTGTCCTACTGCCAGCTGGGCAGCGAGGAAGCGGCGGCAGCATCTCGCTCTGTGCTGCTCTGCTCGGGCAGCTGGAGTTAGGATGGAGTTCAGTCCT